CTTTGACCCTCTTCGCCACCCGCTGTAGCTAAAAGGGGCAATGTTTGTGATGTCCTTTATTTCTCCTTAGTTCTGGCCAGTGCTTAGGTAAAAAATACGGAAGGATTGCTTTAAGGCGGGACGGTTACTTTTGGGGACACTCCTTAATTCCCAAAATAGAACCTCCTCAAATCCTTGTTACTTGGCACGGATAGTGTAATGATTTGAGTTAGGAACCCAGCATTAGTAGCGCCCTGTGATCTCACATGGAATATTGTTTTCACAAATCACAAAGAGCATACGCTGTTACATCCTAACAGGCCTTATTTGAAAGATGTTCCTTCATACGTACAAATGATTGATTTCGAGACTTTGCACACATGTACAGAGAACTGTTTTTATTCCTTGAAACCATCCTCCAATCGTTTTTTGTTTTTGTTTTTTTTTTAGACGGAGTTTAGCTGTTGTTACCCAGACTAGAGTACAATGACACGATCTCGGCTCACTGCAACCTCCGCCTCCTGGGTTCAAGCAATTCTCCTGCCTCAGCCTCCCGAGTAGCTGGGGACTACAGGCGTGCCCCACCTTGCCCACCTAATTTTTTTTTTTTTTTTGTATTTTTAGTAGAAACGGGGTTTCACCTTGTTGACCAGGATGGTCTCGGTCTCTTGACCTCGTAATCCACCCGCCTCAGCCTCCCAAAGTACTGGGATTATAGGCGTGAGCCACAGCGCCTGGCCTTCCCAGCCCTCCAACCCACCCCGCCCCAGACGGAGTTTCGCTCTTGTCCCTCAGGCTTGAGGTCGATGGCCAGATCTTGGCTCTCTGCAACCTCTGCCTCCCAGGATCAAGCGATTCTTCTGCCTCAGCCTCTCAAGTTGATGGGATTACAGGCCCCCACTCCCATCTAATTTTTTTGTATTTTTAGTAGCGATGGGGTTTCAGGCTGGTCATGAACTCCTGACCTCAGGTGATCCACCCCCCTGGGCCTCCCAAAGTGCTGAGATTACAGGGGTAAGCCGGCGCCCCCCAGGCCCAATCCCTTGTTCACAACAACAAAAATCTTTTCTTTTTTTCTTTGAGACAGGGTATTGCTGTGTCACCCAAGGTAGAGTGCAGTGGCGCAGTCGTAGCTCACTGCAAGTCAGCTTCTCAGGCTCATTTAGTTCTCCCACCTCAGCGCTCCTGGTAGCTGAGACTACAGGTGTGCACCACCGTGCCCAGCTAATTTTGTATTTCTTTTTTAATAGAGATGGGGTTTCACCATGTTGCCTAGGCCGTTCTTGAACTCCTGGTCTCAAGCGATTCACCTGCCTCAGCCTCCCAAAATTCGGGGACTACAGGCATGAGTGACTGTGCCTGGCCAAGAGATCTTTTTAATAGATGATTGCTAAAAGTTGAAATTGAATTGGAATTGGAATATTGCTCATAAGCATTGCTTTTAACATTGTTTCAAGACTAAGAAAGGGCGGGCCATGGTAGTTCATGCCTGCAATCCCCACACGTTGGGAGGCTGAAGTAGGCTTGATCACTTGAGGTCAGGAGTTTGAGACCAGCTTGGCCAATATGGAGAAACCCTGCCTCTACTAAAAATAAAAAAATTAGCTGAGTGTGGTGTCGGACCCCTGTAATCCTAGCTACTTGGGATGCTGCGGCACAAGAATGGCTTAAACTGGAAGTTGCAGTGGGCCAAGATCATGCCACTGCACTCCAGCCTGGGTGACAGAATGAGACTGTCTCAAAATAAATAAACAAAATTTTTAAAAAATTAAGAGTCAAAGTGAACTTTTTGTCTATAATACGACTCTGTGCATGATCTGGGATCCCATCTCCTCCAGCCACATTTCTTGCCACTCTTGCTTATCCTCACTTTCTATGCATTATATGTACAGAATGAATCCTAGTTAATTCTTTTTTTTTTTTTTTGAGACAGAGTTCTGCTCTTGTTACCCTGGCTAGAGTGCAAGAAATTGCAAAGGATCTGAACAGATAATAAAACTATTTTTCTTGGAAAATGGGGACAAATCTTAGTATGGTTAAAGTGGTACATTAGTATGAGTTCTCCAGAATGATAGAACCAGTAGGATGGACGGATGGATGGATGGATGGATGGGCCAGTGGGTCAGTAGGTGGGTAGGTGGGTGGCAGGGCTTTTTAATTATGGGAATTAGCTTATGTACTTAAGAAGGCTGAGAAGTTCCAGGGAACTTCTCAGTTCCCTGGAACTGAGAAGTTGGTAGCGTTCAGTCCAAGTCAGAAAGCATCAGAAGCAGGGAACCCGGTGCAGTAACTTTCAATCCAAGGATGAAGGCCTGGAAATCTGGTAAGGGTTGGACAGGAACACTGGTGTGAGTTCCCAAGTCCAAAGGCCAGGAAGCCTGGAGTTCTGATGTCCAAGAGTAGGAGAAGGTAGGGTATTCCAGCTCTAGGAGAGAGCACAATTTGCCTTTCCTCTGCCTTTTGTTCTATTCAGGCCCGCAGTCTATTGGATGGTACCTACCCATACTGAGGGTGTATCCTCCCACTCAGTCCACCTACTCACACACCAGTATCCTCTGGAAACACCCTCACAGACACTCCCAGAAATAATACTTCACCAGCCATCTAGGTATCTCTTAATCCAGTCAAATTGACACCTAAAGTTAACCATCACAAATAGCAAGGTATTATTCTTTGCCTCTTAATTTAGCAATAGGTTTTTTTTTTGTTTGTTTATTTATGTTTTTGGAGACAGAGTCTCGCTCTGTTGCCCAGGCTGGAGTACAGCAGTGCAATCTTGGCTCACTGCAACTGCCACTTCCCAGGTTCAAGCAATTCTCCTGACTCAGCCTTGTGAGTAGCTGAGATTACAGGCATCTGTCACCACGCCTGGCTAATTTTTATATTTTACTAGTGATGGGGGTTTCACCATGTTGGCTAGGCTGGTCTGGAGCTCCTGACCTCAGGTGATCTACCTGCTTTGGCCTCCCAAAGTGCTGGGATTATGGGTATGAACCGCTGCCCCTGGCCAGTTTGGCAACAGTTTGCTAGGCACTCTAGTGTAGTGGTTGTCAGGCTGGACCTGGTTTTGCATCTGGGCTCTGTTACCTCCTTTGTGATCTTGGGTAAGATACTTAGTCCATCTACATTTCCATTTTTCCATCAGTCAGATGGAGATTTTAATAATACCCCATAGTGGTTATTGTTGACAGTTAACGTGGATTTAAACAGTTGAGCATATTGTAAACACTTTCAAAACTACGTTGGCATTTTTAGGCCATGCGTGTTGGCCTCAAGACTTAGGGAGGCCGAGGTGGGAGGATTGCTTGAGCCCAGCAGTTGGAGACCAGCCTGGGCAACATGTTGGAACCCTGTTTGTTTTCTTTTTTGAGTCGGATTTTCACTCTTGTTGCCCAATCTGGAGTGCAATGGCGCAGTCTAGGCTCACCGCAACCTCCACCTCCCGGGTTCAAGGGATTCCCCTGCCTCAGCCTCCCGAGTAGCTGGGATTACAGGCATGCACCACCCACTACACCCAGCTAATTTTGTATTTTTAGTAGAGATGGGGTTTCTCCATGTTGGTCAGGGTGGTTTCGAACTCCTGACCTCAGGTAATCTGCCCACCTCAGCCTCTCAAAGTGCTGGGATTACAGGCGCAAGCCATCATTCTTGGCCCGGAACCCTGTTTTTATTAAAAAAGAAAAAAACTTTTAAAAATTTACTTTTTTTAAAAGGTTTTTTGTTTTTGTTTTTGAGACAGAATCTTGCTCAGCCGCTGAGGCTGGAGTGCAAAATCACATTCTTGGCTCACTGCAACCTCCGCCTCTCAGGTTCAAGAGATTCTTCAGCCTTAGTCTCCCAAGTAGTTGGGATTATAGGCTCGCACCACCAGGTCCAGCATTTTTTTTTTTCCCCATATTTTTCGTAGAGATGGAGTTTCACCATGTCGGCCAGGCTGCTCTCAAACTCCTGACCTCAGTGATCCATCTGCCTCAGCCTCCCAAAGTGCTGGGATTACAGACATGAGCCATCATGCCCAGCCTGAAACTTGACCTTTTTAAAAGATGTAAACAAACATTTTAAAAACATGTTGCTAGTGACATTGAAAATTGGCTTAAGCCTTTTGAAGCACTTTTCAAGAGCCTTAAAAATGCTTTACCTAGTAATTTCATTTTGAGACTAAGGAAATACTTCAAAATGCAGGAAAAGCTGTATTTACTTAATCCTTCAGCACATTTCTCAAACTCCCTACCATGTGTCAGACCCTGGGCTGGCTCAGGATCTGGTAGTATATGATTTGTGATGTTAATCCCAGCATCATTTGTGGAACAGTGGAGAATGTAGCTAAATGTTATTATATCCATACTATATAGCATTTTATAAAGCCATTGAAAGTGGTAGCTCATTTACGGTAAGTGAAAATAATAGGCTGTGATTCAACAGTCAGAAAAAGATGCTGGGGAAAAGAACAAAAGGAAATTCTAACTAATTGAATTATAGTAAGTGGGATTGAGGGCTCTGCAGCAGGGGGTTATTTTTTCGTTTCTCAGATTTCCAATTTTTCTTCTGTATAAACAAGTATATTTGAATCCTGTTTTTTCAAATTTGTTGCATGTACCATGGCTAAAGTTGTTCTACACTTTATAATTTATGTATATTTGTTTATAAAGTGGAAGCAGCTGTTTTCAGTACTAAATAGCTTATTGTGTCTTATGTCAATCCTACCAGACTTTGGGGGAGAGCAATTATTTAATTAGAATAGTATGGGCATGCATTCCGTGCATTTGTCTCTGTAGAGAAAGGTGGAAAGGCTTCTGGGAATCCACTCTGTGCCAGGGCATTGTGGGTCATTGAAATGTATTTTCTTAATTTAGCTTCATAACAGCCCATGAAGGTGGAAAGTGTTATTAGCCCCATGTGTGACCTTAGCAGATAAACTGCTCAACTTTTATTTCCCTGAGTTCTTTATAGGGAAAAGAACTTAGAGAAATAAAAGTTAAGCAGTTTATCTGCTAAGGTCACACAGGTAGGAAACAGTAGAATGTATATTATTTTGTAGATTTATGAATTTAAAATATATAAAAATACAAATTTAAAATAAAAATTATTTTGTTAATCCTAGTAATGGCTTATTACTTTTTGTTTTGCTTTAAGAACATTTTCACAGAATCCAGATGTTTACCAGAGAGGCCATATCCCTCCTCCTGGTCCCTCTGGAGAAGATTATTCACACAGGAGGTACACTTGGAATGTGAAGCCAAATGCCAGTCGAGCAGCCCAGGAGAGAAGCAGGTGGTGTCCTGACAGTTACTCCGAACTATCCTATCCAGCCTGTTGGGAATGGACCCAGTGATACAGACCTGTCCTGGAATAGCACCTGGAGACCCGAGCTGGCCTGAAGATTACAGGTGTGACTTTAATTAGATCAGGTCTAATGAGGTGTCTTTATTGTTCCCTTCTGTGTTCAAGCTTAAGGAAAAATTAAATTGCTGTTTACCTCAACTGATAAATCTGCAGTAATTACAGTACTGCAGGAAAAAAAGTCTGTTATTTCAGTCATATATTTCTAAAGGAAGACCATATTTTAGAACTGAAACATTAAGAATTTCCCTTGCAAATTATTTTTTAAAATTCTATCTTGTTTTTCTATGTATTTCTTTCTGACTAGAATTGTGATATGTGTGCTTATATATGAAATTTTTATTGTTTTTATTATGTTCTGTTATTGACCCAAGTGATATCTTTTTTTTCTTTTCTTTCTTTTTTTTTTAAAGACAGGGTTTCACCATATTGGTCAGGCTGGTCTCGAACTCCTGACCTCAGGTGATCCACCTGCCTCAGCCTCCCAAAGTGCTGGGATTACAGGTGTGAGCCACCGCGCCTGGCTATTGTTTATAACTGTTCAAAATTTCTATTAAAATCGACATAGGAGATAATTCCTTTAGAACCAGGTCACTATATGTAATTAATAGTATGTTTTCTTTGTTTTGTTTTGAGGTGGAATCCCGCTCTGTCACCCAGGCTGGAGTGTATTGCCAATTGAGCAAGAGAGACTGACTGATAAGCCAGATTGCTGACTTCATAAATTATAGTGAGTAATTTATCTGGCAGTGTCGTTGTCATCAGTTGCGTAGAACTGTCCGGAAAACTTGAAAACTTTTATAGATTGTAAGGGTTACTTGATGAACAGAGTGGAATTATGTCGATTTAAAGCCTGAGGATATCTGGCAAGAGTACTGTGTTGTTATTGCTCCACTGTTGAATACAGCCTCCTGGGATCTTTCTCCAGTTGCCTCTTACAGTGGAGTTGTGGTTTATCCCTTTCCCCCCGCCACTCCCTGACCCGAGACAGGGTCTTGCTCTGTCACCCAGGCTGGAGTGCAGTGGTGCCATCTAAGCTCACTGCAAGCTCTGTCTCATGGGCTCAAGTGATCCTCCCACCTCAGCCTCCCTAGTAGCTGGAGGCTACAGGTGTGGATGGATACCATGTCTGGCTAATTTTTTCTGTAGACCGGGTTTTGCCATGTTGCCCTTAGCTCAAGCAAATCCATTCACCTCAGCCTCCCAAAGTGTTGGGATTACAGGCATGAGCCACTGTGCCTGGGCCTATCTTCGCTTTTTCTGAGTTGCCTCTTCTGCTGCTATACCTGTGGAACACACAGACAGATCATTTGGGAGCGTAATTATTTTTACTTGCAGAGGAAGCCAGAAGCCTTTGCTGGCTCAAAGAATTGTTTCAATATCATAACACATAGTAAGCCTTAGTAAATACTTGATGACTGCTTGAGCAACTTGGCTTCATTTCAGGTTTATTTATTTATTTATTTTTAAATTTTTGGTAGAGATAAGGTCTCACTTTATTGTCCTGGTCTTGAACTTCGGAGCTCAAGCAATCCTCCTGCCCTGGCCTCAAGTGCTGGGATTACAGACATGAATGAGCATCATGCCCCACCATTGGCTTCATTTTTTAAAATACCTGATTTTGAGGATTTGTGTCATTGAATGTCTGATGTTGCACACGTTATTTTCTATTTTCTCATCTATGAACAACGTCTGGACCCTGATCTTAAGGAGATAATGTAGCTCAGCTTTTCTTGTCTGTAACTGATTAGCTCAGTCAAGTTGCTGTAGTAAGAACCCCAAAAGTTAGGTTCACATACCCGATGCACAGTAAGCCAAACAATGACATTAATGCTTAGGAAGGCTTATTCAGTTTGGCCAAAGTATGAGGGTGGGAGAGTCAAAGTCTCAAATCTGACCTTCCTTTTTATGTAGTTGGGGGCTTTCCTTGATGATCAAAGCTGTTTGTGTCCCTCGGCCAGTCAAACTTGTGGATGCCATCAAGGATGTCAGCATGACCTAAGGATCAGTTTTCTTTAAAAAACAAAAAAAGTACATTAATCTTGTAGGCAGCTTCTGAGGATTAGGATATGAAGTTCATCACTTGTTAGTGACTACCCTCTACCAAAATGACTACGTGCAAGCAATCCTGCCTGGAGGAAGTTAGGGACAAAGAGAAAGAAAAATAAATAGAATAAATACCTGATGATACGCTGTGTTATGGTATCCCCACTGACATTGTTCCATTCCTCAGTCTTGAGTTGGGGTGTTGACTCAGTCTGAGTACTTCCTGATGGCAAGGGGCATTCCTAGTGGGCTGAGGAATGGAACTTATTTACCTGCAGTTGAAAATATTCACATCTCAGGACTTGGGCAGTTTTGTCGTAACATCATTGAACAGGGTGTCAGGAGCTTCAGAGAGGCGATCTTGCAATCCCACACGTGTAGTGCAGCAGCAGTATAATCCACAGCCAAGGAGTATGCCTGTTCCTATAGTCATAGCTAGAGTTACCAGTAATTATTTCCACCAAGAGGGTCGTCGTGACCAGACCCATGACGATAATCACTGGTTTAGTGACATCATAAAGTTGGACATAGCATCAGTTTGTACATATTTGAAAGGTTGAATTATTTTTCTTCGAGTATATACCCAGTAGTGGGATTGCTGGGTTGAATAGTGGTTCTTTTTCACTTCTTTGGGAAATCTCCCAATTGCTTTATACAGTGGCCGAACCAGTTTGCATTCCTACCAACAGTGTATAAGCATTCCCTTTTCTCTGAAGCCTTGACGGCATCTGTTATTTTTTTATTTTTTAATCAGAATTCCGACTGGTGTGAGATGTTATCTTGTTGTGGTTTTGATTTGCATTTCTCTGGTGAATAGTGATGTTGAGCATTTTTTCATGTTTGTCAGCTGCTTTGATATCTTCTGTTGAGAAGTGTCTTTTCCTGTCCTTTGCTCCCCCCACCTTTTTAAATTTTTTTGAGAAGGGGTCTCACTCTGTCTCCCTCGTGGGAGTGCTGTAGCATGATCTTGGCTCACTGCAACCTCCGCCTCCCAGGTTCAAGCAATTCTCATGCCTCAGCCTCCTGAGTAGCTGGGATTACAGGCAACATGCTACCCAACTAATTTTTCTGTTTTTAGTAGAAATGGGGTTTCAACATATTGGCCAGGCTGTTGTTGAACTCCTGGCCTCAAGTGATCTTCCCACCTTGGCCTCCCAAAGTGCTGAGATTACAGGTGTGAGCCACTGTGCCCAGCCCCTTTGCCCATTTTTACGGAGTTATTTGATTTTTGCTTTTTAAATTTTTACATTTCCTTACAGATTCTGGACATTAGACCTTTGTTGGATGCATAATTTCCTAATATTTTCTCCCATTCTGTGAGTTGTCTCTTTATTGATCATTTATTTTACTGTTTAGTTTAATTAGGTACCAGTCATCAATTTTTTGTTACAATTGTTGTTCAGGACTTAGCCATACATTATTTTTCAAAGCCAATATTGAGAAGAGTATTTCCTAGGTTTCCTCCTAGGATTTTATACTTTGAGGTCTTCCATTTAAATCTCTAATGTGTCTTGGTTTTTTTGAAATATAGTGAGAGGTGGGGGATCCAGTATTTTTAAATATAGTGAGGGGTAGGTGTCCAGTTTCTTCGGCATATGGCTAGCCAGTTATCTCAGCACCATGTATTGAATACAGCGTTGTTTTCTCATTGCTTATTTTTGCCAGTTTTTCAAAGGTCAGATGGTTGTAGGTGTGCAGGTTTATTTCTGAGCTCTCTATTCTGTTCCATTGGTCTATTTGTCTGTTTTTGTACCAGTACCATGTTGGTTACAGTAGCCTTCCAGTATAGTTTGAAGTTGGGTAATGTGATGCCTTTGGTTTTGTTCTTTTTGCCTAGGATTGCTTTTACTATTTGGGCTTTTGTTTGGTTCCAAATGAAGTTTAGAATACAGTGTTCTAATTCTGTGAAAAATGATACTGCTATTTTGATAAGGATAGCATTGAATCCATAAATTGCTTTGGGAAGTATGGTCATTTTAACAGTACTGAGTCTTCCCATCCATAAGCGTGGGAATTTTTTTCTCCTTTATTTGTAATCTGATTTCCCTCAGCAGTGTTTTATAGTTCTCCTTGTAGAGATCTTTCACCTCCTTGATTAGATGAATTCCTAGATATTTCACTTTTTTGTGGCTATTGTAAATGGGATTGTGTTCTTAATTTGGTTCTCAGCTAGAACATTAATGATGTAGGGAAATGCTACTCATTTTGTATCCTGAAACTTTACTGAATTTGTTCATCAGTTCCAGGAGCCTTTTGGTGGAGTCCTTAGGGTATTCTACGTAACTCATGTCATCAGCAAGGAGAGATAGTTTGGCATCTTGTTTTCCTATTTGGATGTCTTTCAGTTCTTTCTCTTCCATAATTGCTCTGGCTCAGACTTCTAGTACCAGAAATGGTCAGAATGGGCATCCTTGTCTTGTTCCAGTTCTCAGGAGGAATGCTTTCAACTTTTGCCTATTTAGAATGATGTTGGCTCTATGTTTGTCATTCATAGAAAGCTCTTATCATTTTGAGGTGTGTTCCTTCAGTGCCTTGTCTGTTAAGGGTTTTTATCATGAAGGGGTATTGTATTTCATGGAAGATGTTTTCTGCATCTATTGAGATGATCATATGGTCTTTAAAAATTCTGTTCATGTGGTGAATCACATTTATTAATTTGCATATGTGGAATCAACCTTCCATTCCAGGAATAAACAGTACCTGATGGTGGTGAAGGAACATTTTTGTTGTGCTTGCTTCTGGATTCAGTTGGCTAGTATTTTGTTGAGAATTTTTGTATCTATGTTCATAAGTGATATTGGCCTGAAGTTTTCTTTCTTCATTGTGTCTCTGCCAAATTTTGGTATCAAGATGATGCTAGCTTTGTATAGAGAGTTAGGGAAAAGCTCTTTCTCCTTGATTTTTTAGAATTGTTTCAGTAGGATTGATATCAGTTCTTTGAATGTCTGGTAGAATTCAGCTATGACTTCATCTCATCCAGGGCTCTTTTTAGGTGGTAGGTTTTTGTTTGTTTTTTAATTACTGATTCCATTCCTGAGCTTGTTATTGGTCTGTTCAAGTTTTCACTTTCTTCCTGGTTCAATCTCAGTAGGTTGTGAGTTTCCAGAAATTTAACCATTTTCTCTAAATTTTCTTATATGTGTGCATGAAGGTGTTCATAATAGTCTTTGAGGATCTGTTGTATTTTTTGTGGGATCTGTTATAATGTCATCTTTGTCATTTCTGATTGTGCTTACTAGTATCTTCTACTCTTTTTCTTTGCTAATCTAGCTAGTGATCTATCAATCTTGTTCTTTCAAAAAAGGAACTCTTCATTTATCTTTTGATATGTAATTTTGGATCTCAAGTTCATTCAGTTTGTCTCTGATTTTAGTTATTTCTTTTCTTCTACTAGCTTTGAAGATGAGTTCTTCTTTTTTTAATCTAGTTCCTCTAGGTGCAGTGTTAGATGGTTAATTTGAGATCTTTCTAACCTCTCAATGAGGCCACTTATAAACTTTCCTCTTAACACCACTTTAGCTGTAGCCCAAGGGTTTTGGTAATTTGTGTCTCTATTTTCATTAATTTCAAATAATTTTTAAATTTCTGCCTTAATTTCATTGCTTACCCAAGAGTGATTCAGAAGCAAGTGGCTTAATTTCCATGTATTTTGTTATTTTGAGAGATTACCTTGGTATTGAAATCTATTTTTATTGCATTGTGGTCCAAGAGTATGCTTGATAAGTTTCTTTCTTCTTTCTTTTTTTTCCCCCTAAATTTATTGAGAGCTTTATGGGCAAGCATGTAGTCCATCTTATAATATATTCCGTGTATGGATGAGAAGATTGTATATTCTGTAGTTGTTGGGTACGGTATTCTGTAGATGTTTATTAGCTCCAGTTGGTCAAGTGTCCAGTTTAAGGCCAGAATTTCATTGTTAGTTATTCATGATGTGGGTGCTTCCCAGGGGAACACAGAGCTGTGCCACTAACAGAATTCAGGTAGAGGTGGGTCTACTTTGCTTGGAGCCCCAACTGTTGCGTCCCACACAGCTAGGAGGAGCAGGAGTGGGTGAAGTCACCTGCTCCACCATCTGAGGGCTTCCCAGGGGATGACAGGGCTGTGCCCACCTGAATTGTTCAGGCAAAAATGGGTCTGGTATGCAGGAAGCCCCGCCAGAGATACATCTTCTGGCTATGAGCAGCAGGGGTAGCAGGAGTTGCTCACTCAGCTGTCTGGGTGCTTCCTTGTCGACTTGAGTGTTGCCTCCGGAAACACTCTGGGCAGCTGTCTGTATCCGTGTATGTGCCTGGGGTCAGGAGGAATCCCGCATCCCAGGATTGTACAGGTCCCTGCGGGAAGTGTGGATCCCCAGCGGCTCTCGCTCACTATGGAAACCAGTTAGTTCCCCATAGTAATCTGGTTGAATTCTCTTTAACTGCTTTATACATGTTTATAAATTGCTGTTTGAATCCCCTTCCCAAGATATGACTGGTAGTTGTGTGTGGTTTGTATTAATCTTATTCCTCGGAGGTTGGCGAAGCCAGAGAGGGAGTAGGTGACTCTAGGACTCTGTACAACCTCCTGAAGTGACATTTTTCTCTGTGATTGTTTAAAAACTCACAAAGTGGTGGCTGCTTTACCAGTTGCAGGGTAAGGGAAGTATCTAGTTCTATGGGATGTGCCCTTGAGGTTTTATTTTTGTACTTCTTTACAGTGGCTGTCATCTGCTTTGGTGACTTATCTTGTGCACAATAATATTGCTGGGCCTGATTTCTTTCCTAGCAAATCTTTCTAATGCAGCTAAGACATTTAGATCTAAGAGATAATTTTCCAGACCTTTTTCTGATTTCTTTCTGGCTAGAAGGGATATGTAATTAATCTTCATTCGGGCTAGGGCAGAAATGCATTTTTCTTTTTTAAACAGGGATCCATGTCTCTAGTTGAGAAGTTTCTCTCTTTCTTCTGTGCCACTTATTACCTCAGTCACCTTTTCTACCAAAAGTGGGATATCAGTAGTGTATTTGAATATAATGACTCACCTTTCACCCTCTGTATGTGTGATCCTTTGTGGAGAAAGAGCTGTGTCTTAGCTCTAAATCTGTGATATGAGTTGAGCCCCTTCTCCGGATTCTGAATATTCTTTTCATGTTTGGTTTCCTTTTGTTTGTATACTTCAGTTATGGAAGAGGAGATTCATTATGCCTTCTACTTCCTAAAATCCATCATCTGTTTTCAGTGTTTCTCCTATTTTTTTTTTAAATGTGAAAAGATAGGTTTTTATTCATCAAAAGTTAACAGCAACAGGCACATATTAAAATGAGTATGGCAAAGGCTTTTACAAATGGCTTTACACTCAAGCTTTCCCCCAAGAAAATGGCTGTTGCAACAAACTGTAAACATAATTAATAAACAGTCTTTTACAGTAACAAGGGAATTACAAAAGAACTAAAAGAAAGCACTGGTTTCTCTTAAAACTAGATTACAGTTGTGCTTACTATACATAAAATAATTTAAAACAAATTACAAAAGTGGATTGTTTGAAGTTTAAAATTAGTCCTTATAGTTTGTCCTAGAAAACATCTGTTCACATCAAAAGGCCGGTCAAAGGGTAACGTTTCATCAAAGGGAGGGACAAGAAAACAATGCACTTTTTTTAAATCAAAACGAGAAGTTTGGTCACTTAGCCTTGTGCATAGTTTAAGGCAACTGGAGCAATCTGTTACGGCTTACTTACCGACCTTCCCCTCCCGCAATGTGGCTGCTCATATGTCCCATTCTAAAATAATAAATAAAAGCTTACATTTCAATCTTTTCCCCCGTGGAGAAACATAACATGCACAGTCACACGTGCACAAACATGCATGCAAACACACATCCATACATTCACACACAACATACCTCTCACTCACTGCAGTGAAAGGGACTTTAGTACCCTTGATCTGACGGACACACTTCCCCATCCCACTTTTATTTCAGATTAGCAAATACCCTGAGCTGATTATGGTGTTATAAACATTCCACCTTTTTCTTGCATGTGCAGGTCAAGTGTACAGTAATGAAAACATGCAGTGTCTTCACTGCAGAGTCATAATTAACAGCTAGGACATTGGTGTTCTTCCCCTCCCGCCCCAAATTAAAAACTAATTGTTAAAAAAAAATTGCATTGCCAAATAGCACTGGAGTGAAAGCTTGGTGGTACTCTATGAAAAATGCTCAGTTTCCAGTGCACAAAATAAAACTATAGCAAATGGGAGGTTTTGGTGGCATCCAAAGAAGAAAAAAGGCAAACCAGGGGGAAAGAGCTGCAGTCTAAAGTTTGATCTTTTAATTTGTTTTAGTGATTCCTTCACAATCATGCTCCAAGGCAATTTAGAACCAATATTTCAGAGTTGATTTGTAAACACTGTCTTGCCAGAGGCAGCAGAGACTGGGCACTTCACATCTCCCTTTTCTCAGAGAGAACTTAGTGGAAGGTACAAGATACACACTGTTGCATCAGACTGGTTAAATTCCAAGAGACTGTTGTTGAACAAGTTTCACGTTTTGAAGATTAGATGCTTTGAAAAAGTCGTGGCATACCTCCAAACTCCTTTGTTACTCCTTTTGGATTCTCTCCTGCTGGGCTTGGCATATTCAAGGTTTCACATGAAAGCCAAATTCATATTGCTGTATGTTCAGGTCTTATAATTAATAAGTGGGTTCACATGATCCAACAGAGGAAATCTTGGAAATAAATAATGCTGGCTGGCATCACTCACTTGGAAACGTTGGCGGTCAAGAGTAAGTTTTCTCACCTCAAGACCCCATCTCACATTTCTAAAAACCTCCAGGAGGCAATTCATTCCACTGGTTCTGGGGGTTATGATAACCGATTTTCCTGAGGTAATAACTGTGAGTTCGACTCAAATGCAGCATCAGTGTCCTCACTGCTGGACTGTTCTCTCTGCAGTCCCTTCCAGCTGTCTCCATTTGTTGCCTGCTTTCTAATGGCAGATGTGAGAATAAGCCTGATTCTCTCAATAAGCCCACTGCATATCTCCAGTGGTGATTTTCCAGTATTGAGATATTCTTGTATAAAGTTGCCAAGTAATAGTTAGTTTTAATAAGGAAAGGTTGATTAACACCTGGATGATCCAGATCATGAGGGGCAGCTGCAATTAAGCTTAGCAAGATATCCCAAGGAGTTACAGAATTGGCAAGCTTAGATTCCTTTAAGTAACAGTGCATGGCCCGAGTATCATCTGCAGCGAGGACTGCGTTATGGTAAGGATTTTGACTGTGGTAATCTTCTTGAATCATAACTAAAAATCTATGAAGTTTTATCATATCTAAATGGAAGTACTCAATCCATGAAGACTAAATAAATGAAAGGTTAAGCTTACTAGACTATTTCCATTTGTTAGACTATCAAATAGAAAGATATCAAAATTCCAGTTTCCAACTTTTTCCAGCATACACTTGGCTTGTCCATTATAATCATCATCTAAAATGTTAAGAGAATTTGAAACTAGTACCACGAAAAAAGCGTGATATCGCTGGAAACTTTGTAGCCTTCTGATATTCCTTGCAGAGACAGACACTTCAATTTCAGATTGAGCCTTTGACAATCGGGGTGGGGAGAGGGCTGGGTCTTCTTTCCATGACTCTGAGCAAGCTGTGTGACACAGCTAATCAACAGAATATGGAAATGTGATGCTATGTCAGGTCTAGGCCCAGATCTTCAGACACTCTCAGTCCCCACACTTCCTCTTTCTTGAAATGCTTGCTAGTGGAAAATGCGAAAATCAATATATGGGTGAGAACCTCTTCTTTCTGATTCAAATCCTGCTCGGCTCCTTACACGTACATCTCCTAGCATACGATTGTATAACGCAGTCTGATCAGAACTGTCATAGGAAATAGCTCCACGCCTCTGAGAGAGCTGCCGGGGATTGGGGCAGCCGAAGAGCGTGGAGCTGGAGCTGGAGCTGAAGCTGATGGCTCCTCGGCGGCTTAGGACATGCTGGGGGACCTGCCTGTCCAGGGGCAGTACCAGCAGCTGGTAACATACTTCCATTGAATACACCCGCCCTGCCTCCGCGCGGCGCCCGCCCTACCGCACTACCGCCCTACCTGCACTGGGAGGGGGCCGCGGCTCGGGGGCTCCGGGCCTAGGCGGGCGGGCGCCAACCCCGGGCCGGGAAGCCGCGCTAACGCCTCCCCAACCCCAGCCCTCCGCTCGGGCCGCCGGTGGAAAGGCTCTGCGGCAGCCCCGGCGCCAGTTACCAAGACCAGCGCGCGCCTCGCTCCAGGCGAGGGGGACTGGGTGCAAGCGGGGCCAGCAAAGGCAAAGTCGGAAAGGGAACCCTGTCGCCCCGGGGCTCCTCGGCCGAGAGGAGCAGGTAAGGGGACTGCAGAGTTCGAACGGAGCACGGATAGAGCAAAGCGGTGCAAGACGGTTGGAGCCAGCGGCCAGACCCTGGGCGCAAGGGACTCAGGAGCCGCATCCAGGTCGTGCTGCTGCGGCCGCTGCTGTTACCACTAAAATAAAATAATACCACTAAAATAGGGACCCCTTCCCCTATTAGTCAGCTCTATTAGGATAAGCTCTATAAATCAGCTTAAGCCCTGGAGACTTTTGCCCTCACTCAAGCTTGTCATATAGCTAAAGAGAAATCAGTAAGTATTTAGACAGATACTAGATATGTTTTTGGAGTAGTACACAATTTTGACATGCTAGGGAAACTCTAAGGGTTTCTCACGTCTAGTGGGACCCCCATCAAACATAGACTCCAATTAGATAAACTCCTCTATGCCATCATGTTATCATCACAGATGCTGTTATTGCTCAAAGCTCATACCTGCAGACTGAACCTGAATATCAAGGAAATGCTTAGCAGATATTTCATGCTAAATCAGCTAGCACTGAAACTGTTAGGATATGCAATCTGAATGAACTCCATAAGATTAATCCAAACCAACTACCTTACAATGACCTATTTAATAAACAATGTACTGCACCTGATTTGGAAAAACAAAATTGGTATCTAAAAGGATATAAATTCAATGTTAATCACAAACTCACAGAGGGCCTAGATGGCTGCCCGTTCCTTCCATTGTCAAAAGCTCTGCACTACACAACTCATCATGGAACAGAAAAATTGATCCAAATTGGGAAAAAATAGTTGTGGGATGACTGTTCAAAATTGCTAGAATATTTTATAACCAGTGTTGGCTTGTCAAATCCATAGTCCTGGAAAAACAAGTTAAGTGGTGTATTTCCACCACTTAATGGACCATTTGAACATTTATAGATGGACTTCATTCAGTTGCCAGTTTCAGTGGGGGTCTCAGTATGTTCTTGTAATAGTTTGCATGTTTTCTGGTTGGGTAGAGGCCTTCCTGTGTAGAAAAGCTGATGCTGCGACAGTAGCTAAGAAATTATTAGAAAATGTGTTTCCTTTATGGGGCATCCGTGGAAAGACCTCCAGCAATAGGGGGACTCATTTTATTAGGCAAGTTATAAAGCAGTTAAACAAGGTGCTGTGGGCACAACGGCCTACTGTTGTCCCTATTGCCCTCAGTCTTCTGAAAAGGTTGAAAGAACAAACAGCATATTAAAACTGAAATTGGCAAAGTTAACCGAATCAGTTGGGTTGCTTTGGCCAAAGGTACTGTCACTGGATTTAATGACAGTCAGATCCACTCTCACTAAAAGCCATAAGTTGACCCCTTATGAAATAGTCAGTGGAAGGCCTATGCCGCTAATAGTTGAACCTCATGCATCTCCCTCTCTCCTAAATGTGAATAAGTATGCAAGGCCATTATACCGAAGTGTACTTTCACCAGATAAAGGAAGCTTTCAAATCCACCAATTGAGGATAATCAAACCTTCCACAGTCTAGAACCTGGAGATTGGGTCTTCTAGAAATGACATCAGAGGAAGGCTGATCTTGAACCACTTTGGAAGGGACCATGCCGAGTTCTTCTTACCACCTACACTGCATTGAAGCTTTAGGGCCTTGAAACTTGGGTCCAAACCTCACTACTCAAAAAGGCCCCTTCAGACTCCTGGAACTGTACCCCTGCTGGAGACTTCAAGGTAGAGCTGACCAAGGAAACCTCTCTCCAGAAGCAGAAGGCATTCTAGTTGTGGGCAGCTTTCCCAAAATTACAGATCAAGACGTCTGTATCATCATGAAAGCCTTACATTTTTTCTTTTTTCCTCATTTAGCATTGCCCTAATTCTTTCCTTTTCCCTACAGAAAAATCCACGGGACCATAATCAGTGGATGGCTTTAACTTGAGCTAATGCTCTAGCACAAAACTAGGGTTTGTGAGTTACTGGGTTTGTGGGCTATTGCCAAAAAATAAGGGAACAGTTCTGCTAATGTCACTGCCTCTCCATGTTCCCAGTGAGGGTCACCCCAAAACTCCAAGGGAAGAATGGGAAGCTATCCCTGATATTCTGATTTTATTTGGCAAGTTATAAAGAAGTTAAACAAGGTGCTGTGGACACAACAGCACTACTGTTGTCCCTATTGCCCTCAATATTCTGAAGATCACTGCTACTTGCTTTGGCTTTCCTGCACCCAACTTTTCCTTTTTTTTTTTTTTGAGACAGTCTCACTCTGTTGCTTAGGTTGTAATGCAGTGGCCTCATTTTATGAAGGCTCTGTCTCCCAGGTTCAAACAATTCTCCTGCCTCAGCCACCCAAGTAGCTGGGATTAAAGGCATGTACCATCACACCCAGCTAATTTTTAGTAGAGACAGGGTTTCACTATGTTGGCCAAGCTGATCTCAAACTCCTGGCCTCTAGTGATTTGCCAGCCTTGCTCTCTCAAAGTGCTGGGATTACAGACGTGAGCCACCATGCCTGGCCTTAACTATTTCAATTAATAACCCAATCATTACCAAATATAGAAAACCAATCCAAGTGATGACTGCAAAAAAGATATTGTGCTTTCAGGCAACATGCACTCAAGATATGGGAATTGCCTATGTGAGTACAAGTAATTGCTTGTATAATGTCACCAGATTAAATGCAACAGGGTCTCTTTTGGCTAAATGTGTTATACACCTTACGACATGCTATAAGGGGGGCACAAAAAGGTAAATTTCTCAGTGGATTTTGTTCAGGAGCTATGCAGATTTATTAATGAACAAATCTAACTGACCAGGCTCAAATGCAACTAGGTGGCCCTGTTTTTCAACTCCCAAGGGCCTATATTGGGTCTGTGGATAACCTGCATATTTCATTCGGCCTCCTCGTTGGCTCAGATCTTGCTGTTTGGTCTGGCTCACTTTGCCTTTCAAATAGTTTCTCCTAAAAATTCTCTTAACAGCTCTTATGATTGTAGGCCAAAATAGTAACTGAAATTAGCACTAGCTTTGAAATAGACAAAGATAAGCTAGATTCCACTGAGGAAAAATTCCAGTGGGGTTCCTGGGGGCTCAGTCTTGGTGGTAGTGGGATACTAGTTGTATGGAATCCAAAGCTAATCCATATTGGGGGTCTTGGATTTTGTAGCCAATCAGACCTCCCAGTGTTACAGACAGGTAGAAGCTACTCTCCAAAAGGTAGATGTGGACGGGTGCAGTGGCTCATGCCCATCATCCCAGCACTTTGGGAGGCCAAGGCAGGTGGATCACCTGAGATCAGGAGTTCGAGACCAGCCTGGCCAACATGGTAAAAATGCATCTCTACTAAATACAAAAAATTAGCCAGGCATGGTGGCACATGCCTGTAGTCCCAGCTACTTGGGAGGCTGAGGCAGGAGAATCACCTGAACCCAGGAGACAGAGGTAATGGTGAGCTGAGATTGCGCCACTGCACTCCAGCCTGGGTGACAGAGCGAGACCCTGTCTCAAGCAAAAAAAAAAAGGTAGATGTTACAGGTAACATCATGCAGCTTCATATCTTTTTATTCAAGCTGGGAACCTGTTTGGTGTTGAACAAAACAGAATGCTACACTTATCTCTCTCCTGATTGTGTTACTACAGAAAGCTTAATGTAAAGGTAGCTGATACTGCTCTTTCCTTAGGCACTGACACCAAATACAATAAAGAAGTCTATTAAGAGGAAAATATGGTGTGTTTACAGGAACAACTAACAGTTGGTTTGTAGACGTCCCAAATTGTAGATGGCAAGCTTGGGTTTCCCAAAGGTTTCTAGTCTTTATATGCCTTCTAGCAGGTGTCGAGGTTAGTATGGCTTGTGTTACCAGAGTAACAACGAAAATGGAAACATCTTTAAATCAGGCCACGTATAGTGAGCTATGATCCTTCATTGCTATCACATTTCAAACCAGAACTATGACCAATTAAACTTTAGTATTGTTGAACGGTTTTGTTGCCTGAACTTTGACTTGTTTAATTAGGTTTAGTTTATTTCTTGAGAACTTTTGTTAAGGAGTGCACCTTGGTATTTTGATATTATTCTCTTGATAGTCATAATAATAGTTCCCGTGGTGTGCTTCATTCTCTCAAGTCTTAAATGTTTTGTATGCAGCCATACATTGAGAATTGAATGGTCTCACTTAGACTATGTCAGCAAGAACATAAAGAATCATTCACCTAGTGTGAAGCTGTGACTTGTGAACTCCACAGTGACACCAATAAAGACTTGTGAACTCCATACTGAGATCATTTACGATAGTGAGAGAGTGGCATCAGTGCCTAAAGTTTTGGTCAATCTCTCTAAATTGAGAGTGACAGAAACAGGGGAATTGATAAATCAAACTCAAACCTGGCCTGAGAAAGCCTTCATACTTCCATACGTGAGTCCTTAAGGGTGAACCATAACGTAACTAGTAGGTAGGCAGACTGAAAACCTAACTTAGGAGGATGCTTCTTTAGCAATAGCTGAGTCTCAGCCAATCCCATTGGCCATACTTCAGCCACTCACAGGTAGCCGACTGTTTGAATCACGCTCAGATAAGGTAAACACCAAGCTGTGACCAAGCTGGCTGTTTCTGTACCTCACTTCCCTTTTCTGTGGTCACTTTCCTTTTTCTGTCCACAAATCTGCTTTGACAACACAGCATCCCTGGTGTCTGTCTGCATCTGCTGTGATTCAGAGCGCTGCCCAGGTTGCAAATTATTAATTCTTCTTGCTCAATTGAACTTTGTTTAAATTTATTTTTATAATGTATTCCTTTTTTTTTTTTTTTAGACGGAGTTTCGCTCTCATTACCCAGGCTGGAGTGCAATGGCACGATCTCAGCTCACCGCAACCTCCGCGTCCTGGGTTCAGGCAATTCTCCTGCCTCAGCCTCCTGAGTAGCTGGGATTACAGGAACGTGCCACCATGCCTGGTCAGCATGGTCTCGATCTCTAGACCTCATGATCCACCCGCTTCGGCCTCCCAAAGTGCTAGGATTACAGGTGTGAGCCACCGTGCCTGGTTAACATATTTCTTTTATCAGAACTTATAATTAAAATGGAAAGAGGGTGTAGAAATTTAGAAACCTTGCAGCATGGCCATGTGAGTAGAGAAGAAGGAATCCAAGCAGACTGCTGAGCAACCAACCACGTGCTAGAGACATTAGCATGTGTAAAAGGGAGCCAGGCCCTAATATTCAAGACAGTGGGCAAAGACCTCAGAGGCACTTCAGAACATCCCTCCTATCACACGGCCACAGGCCTAGGAGGACTGAATGGTTTCAGAGACCAGGCCCAGGGCACCATTACCTTGTGCTACCTCA